GATGCAATCAATATAAAAAAAATTATTAAATTAAATTGCAGTCGAGATAGTGAATGCTAACGTGCTGCGGGTTACCGACACGCTTTTCCATGATTGTCTGTCTTGCATTACCATGACAACGACCTCCTCACCGACCGGGTACCACCGCCTCATCCAGACGAAACGACGTCGCATGGAACCGCGAACTCCATTCGACCTCCGACACCGGGGCATACTTTAGCCGACAGTCACCACCTCGCCTTTAAGGGGGAAAATCAGATAGAATCAGCCCAGGAGAGAGAGAGAATCAAAAGTTTCGAATCCTAAATTTCTGCGTCCAATTTTACTGCGGTAGAGAAGGGAATATAATGGCTGTCAAGTGTGCTACTGAGGTTTGACTTCATTAATAGATCAACGGCTGCAAAGTAAAGGTATTTACACCTTTGCTTTCTGCCGTTGATTGTGTTTACTTTCTCTCTATCTCACTGTAAAATATGCTAGTGAGTTCAGGTTTTTTTTTTTATCTTCTGAAGCTTTCAAATTATGGTTGTATCTGCTCTTCTTCAGATTTAGATGCTGATTTTGCACGTTTCTTTAGCTGCACTTTGTTTACATCAGGTGCTCGAACTAACTATTATCTCTTTGGATTCGAATTCTTTTTATTTATTTTTTAATTTTTTAATAAGCGAGAATGTAAGGGTTAATCATGTGTTGGGGAATGTGGATTTCGATTTAGTTTGGAAATAAAGATTTATTTTTTTTGTTTTATCTGAGTGAAATCGTGGGCATTTTGTTCTGACTGTGGCATTTGCAAGATCTGCCATCAAGGGGACTCATTCAGTCTAGTTTTTGCGTAATTTGATTCTGTAATGGCAATTTGTGTGAATTCTAGTTATTGAGAATTATTATGGGGTGCTGTTTGTTATGGGTGATGGAAAAGTTGTTTTCTTTGCATAAAATGCTTTCTGGGTTCTTGTTGATTAGCTTATTTCCGATTTTCAGGATGTGTAAGAAATGAGAAAGTTGCTGGGAAATTTATGGTTCTTGGCACTAAGCTATTACTTAAAGTGACCTTGCTCTAAAAGCATCAATATTCAGGTTGGTTATTAATGATTTTCATTTTAATGTTGTTGATGGACTGATAATAATGTACCTGGTATCATTTTCCCTCATCAGTTCTTATCATTGCATAGCTAATTAAAAGAATGGGACTAATTGTTATCATTATTTTTCCTTCGCTGCTTCCTGCTTCTTGGCTTCCAACACAACCCTCCTTAATGAAAACACTGAATTTTATGTTTTTCATATCAACTTAATTGTCTTAGATTATGTCTCTGTCTTGTTGTCTTCGTATGGAGTTTCTTCTATAGCCTTATCTCAGCACCGTAGTTGATCAGATGGTTGGATATCATTCTAAGGCCCTTTAAGTCATTCTCCTGTTTAGCATTGTCTTATGGTTTCTTCTTTGGTTTGAGATGTACTTAGCACTCTATCAACATCCACAGTTTCTGTATCAAGGTTTTTGACAAATTTTCTCTCACAGGTTTGCATCTACTCTAGCTTGGTAGCCGGAGTCATGGGTGTCTCAGGAAAATGGTTTAAATTATTTGTTGGCTTGAAGAAATCAGAAAAATCACGATCTTCAGAGAAGGAAGAAAATGTTGGTACCAATGTCCCTATTTTATTCATTTCCTTTTCTTTTCATTTTTTTGTGGTAGCACGTCCCTTTAGTTTACATACTTATTGGCTGGCATCTTGCATGTAATTGCAATACCTTCATGGTTGAATTGAATTGTCAGTTGCCTGCTCTCCTCTTACAAGAATATTAACCTTTCCTTCAAAAATGTTTTTATTCATTCAAGAAGCTTTGGGGTGTTGATTTAACTGGTTACTGATTTAACTGTCTGCTACCAAATAAAATGTTAAGCAATGGGAAAACCCTGTATTCATCTTGAACAATTGGCATATTTTTTCTATTCCTGTCTTTGGTTGTTGCCCTTTTCTTATTTTATTTTTATTTTGGCATATTAAGAAGTCAAGGAAAGTCCAATAGAGTTGCAGATATTTAATCAAGTAAAAGGTTTATGCAGATGTGTGTTTACTCTAAATTTCAATCTTTTGGTCTTCAATTGTGACAGAGTGCGGCTGCTAGCAAGTCTCATCAACAGGGAAGTCATTCAGTTGGGATTGATTCTGGTAAAATTGAGGATGAGTTGGATCAGATTGCTGCTCCACCAGCTGCAGATTCCAATTTCCAGCACACTGCAGATGCTGGTGTCTCCCCTTCAGGTTCACTTGAAGTGCAGGATACATCCCCTAATGAACAATGTGCAAAGGAAGAATGGGCTGCAATAAGAATCCAAACAGCTTTCCGAGGATTTCTGGTTTTGACTCCACCATGCCACCCTTTTGCCAGATTGGATTAGAATCTAAAGTGATAGTGTTTATTTTGGATGAGGATTCAAAAGTCAAAACTAACCCGCATTACCTGTTACACTACATTTACTGAGTACATTTAGATACCTTCATAACAAGAAGGGCCTAAGTTATAATCTCCTTCTTGGTTTTATACTTATTTTGGAACATTTGTGTATCTTGTAGTAATATTTTTTTGATTTCTTCTTGGTTAATTTAATGAGATCAAAATTTTCATTTAAACGTCAGGCTAGAAGAGCTCTGCGAGCATTGAAAGGATTGGTAAAACTTCAAGCCCTTGTAAGGGGCCATGCTGTGAGAAAACAAGCGGCCATAACTCTTCGCTGCATGCAAGCTCTAGTGAAGGTTCAGGCTCGTGTACGAGCAAGGCGTGTTCGAATGACATTAGAAAGTCAGACATCTCAGCAGAAGCTTCAACAACAACTGGCAAATGAGGCTCATGTTCGAGAAATAGAGGTAGGGAAAGAAATGGGTACTTGAATCTCACAGACCAATTTTTCATTTTTTGGATCCATGTTTAATGATCAAAAACTTTCAGATTTTTTTGCTGCTCTTTGAAGACCTTACCATGGTTTCTACTGAATCCATTTTATTGTGCATATAGGCCATTATCTCTTTGATTCCATCATTTTATGTTGTGGTTTTCTTCCAAGATAGGAAGCTGGGTAGAAAGTAAATAGATGTTGTCTAATGAATTAGAGAGCTCCTTCAAATTGTCCTTTACAGCTTTTTTCCTTTAATTCTCTCTCTCTCTCTTTTCTGTTGGTTTTAGATTAACAAGTCTATGTACTTAATAAGAGGGTTTTAATCAGCATAAGATGAACCCAAGCCAACCAGTTCCTAGGTAGCCAAAGTAAGATTTTATGAAACAGATCAAAAGAATTGGATCCTTTGATTCCTTTGGTTTTAGGTACAGAAGAAATATCAGTTATTTGCTTACCTAGCTTCTCTAAATTTGGTTATTATTCTATATTATGATTTTGGTGGTTAAAGAAATCCAAATCTCTTTTTTTTTTTTTTTTTGTGGTATTGACTGAAGCCTAGATTTTGGTAGTTGAGTGCTTAATATTGTTCTGACTTTGATGCAGGAAGGGTGGTGTGATAGCGTAGGATCTGTTGAACAAATTCAAGCCAAGTTGCTAAAGAGGCAGGAAGCTGCAGCTAAGCGTGAGAGAGCCATGGCGTATGCTTTGGCTCATCAGGTAATTAATGTTCCCCATTGTAATTTTTGAAATTACAATGAAATTTGTTAAGTTTTGATTGAAGGAAACCCAAGAAAAGTTTTACTTATTCATATGTGAAATTGTGGCAGAAAAGATATAGCCAGTGCACACAATCTTGCATGCCACACCTTTCCACATGAGTTGAAGTCTGAAAATTTTGGGCTACACTGTGAGACCATTTAGTAAACCATACAAATCTTGTGTATCTCCTACTTTCAATTAGTTTGCTTTTTCTGTCTTCTTATTTCCACCATTTTGAATTTTGAATACTGAAAATTTATGTTCTAAATTTCACTCTAACCTGTAATTTATTTCACTATATCAATTCAAAAGAAAATAATATAATGTATCAATTTCCTTTTTGATGATCAATATTTTGTATTTACCTTGTTGAAAAGGGAGATTTTACATACACATTTCTGGCACTCACATGCTTATCCTTTTCTTTTAATAGACAATATCTCTTTCTGTAGTGGCAAGCAGGAACAAGGCAAGCTGCTGCCCCTGCTGGGTTTGAACCAGATAAAAGCAGCTGGGGTTGGAACTGGTTGGAAAGATGGATGGCTGTGCGTCCATGGGAGAACAGGTTTCTTGACATTAACCTCAGAGATGGAGTAATGATACATGAAAATGGTTTATCTGAGGGTATTAATGGTGCCAAATCTCAGATAAAATCTATCACAAAAAACGCAGCTCCATCAAATCTTCATGCTAATGTTTCCAGCCAGAAAACGGGTCCATCTCATTCTGATGGCAGTGGTTCCTCGCCTGGTAAGTCTGCTAGTGGGATAGAGGCATCCAATGTGCTGTCTTCCAAGCCAAATCTTGATGATATGGCTGAAGAAGCAAGCTCAAAACCTGTTACTGGTTCAAGATCCCACAGCAATCCAAAAGAGAGATCAAAACAATCAGATAAACTAGCAAAGAAGCGATTGTCTCTACCAAACAGTGGTAAGCTTCAAACCTACTAGGTAGTTTCACTATTAATGTTGTCAAGAAAGAAAGTATTCTCATTTCATGATGTTCTTTTTTCTGGAGGCTCCAAGCAGAACGGGACTCTGGTTAGTATTCAGGACCAATCTAAGCTAGCATATTTTTTAAGCTGTTGCCAAAATAATTGCAGAATTAGGAAAGTTTCATGTAGTGTCACTCTGAAATAATCAGGAGTTTTATTCTGCGTCTTGTTAATTCTCTTTGTTTGGTTTATTTAGGTCTAGCTCCTGAGACTCAAACAGTGAAGCCTGTTAGAAGTGCTGCGAAAGTGAGTCCTGGTTCTCATAGGCCAGTCAAGGATAGATCCAAGTTTAATGGACGGGGGAGCTCAAATCCTACAAAATCTGTTGCACAGCCCGTTGATCTCTAGTTTGAAGAATCCCATCAATGATAACCTCTTATCCAGGCCTCAATCCACTTAAAAGTGAATGTACATAGTGAATTACAGTGTGAGGAGATGCAATCAATGATGCCATTTATTTCCTGCCAGCTGTGGTCACAATGGTAAAAAGTTAAGGAGATTGGCTTGGGCCGCTTGGCTTTGCATGCATGGAATAAGATCAGTAAGTCTTTTGTATGTATTGTTGATGTTGTAATCTCTTTGCGAAGCAGATGTCCTTTGTCTTTTAGTTATTTCCCCTCTCCTTCGTCCTTTGTCTTGATCGAAATTGTGTTGTGCTGCTTGTGATTAGATTACACATGAGACGGAAAGCTCAGTATATGTTGTAAGAAAAAGAAATCTGAAGTAGTGATCATCTGGTATTTAGCTGGTTGGAATGGGGCATCAGCTATCATGAAACTCTGTTCAGGTTCATAATCTATTTTCCATTTTTTCATGCAAATATAATGCTCTTCAATCGGACTAAGAAGCTGACTCATGATTAATATCTTTGGAATACCAGGAGCATTTGGATCTCCGCTTTGATTCTTTGCATATATACTAGTATATACTAGAGAACTGAAGCAAGTTACATCGACCTAACTCTCTCTTTTTTTAGGCATTTCTAATGATGAATTGCACCAATTACTTAAATAATTTAATATTCATCTTCTTTCATTGAAAATGAGAGATATTGAGTTTGACTCGCATAGTATGCTTGTGGGATGAAATAAGAGATATAAAATGATTGTTTCTTATTATGCAACAATATAAAAAAATAAATTGATGAATTGCATAAGGAGAGGACTCCTTACCTAAATTTTTCTACACTCAACTTAATATTTGAATATGAAAATTTTAATTTAGAATTTTAAATTTTTAATAAGTTAAGTTAGTTCTTGAGGTAAAATTTAACCTCTATAAAAAAATCAGAAACAATAGTTTTGTTAGAATGTTTCCACTAATTATAAATTACCTACAAAATGTTAATTATAAGAAATGAAAACAATATGTTATTTTGAATTTAAAATTTGTTAGAATCATATTTGCCCTTTTAAGTTTTCTTTTTTTTCCTTCTACACTTTCCCCCAGAACCTAGCCACGGGCGCTCATGGGGCGCATTCTCTTCTCTCTAGGAGGAGAAAGTCTACAATATCCCGGGTATACCACGTGGGATGTATCCCGAACCAATAATATTCTGCCACGTTTTAGACTGTGGGGCCATAAAACACCAAAAACTAACGCCGTTTCTTTGCCTTTTTTCTTCCTTTCTTTGGGCCGTTTCTACTACTTCCTCCTTTTTTTTCTTTTATTTCCTTGCTGCGTTTACCTGCTCTTTTTTTTTTTTTTATCCCGAACCAATAATATTCTGTCACGTTTTAGACTGTGGGGCCATAAAACACCAAAAACTAACGCCGTTTCTTTGCCTTT